ATTCCCGACTGCAAAGACACTTCGTCCGGCCAGACGAGAGCAAAAGAGGGGATCGCTTCGCGTCACTGTTGTGCGAGTTTGAGTTCAACATTGGCAATACCCAACAACGTCAACAACAAGCTCGGTGAGGTGAGCATATAGCGTATCTTCGATACCAAACCCTCACGCACTTAGTGTGGTGCACACGAGTTTAGGTTCACGGCAGGGTTGAGAGCCGTGACACAAAAACGTCGGCCAGGGCAGTGTTTTCTGCTGCGGGGCCCTGCCGCAGTCGTTCAAGAAAGCGCTTGGCACTGGCTTCCAGTTTCGTTGCGGAGTTTGTAGTTTTGCAACTTATTGGGAATACTCGATAGAAGACTGGAAGAGCAGTTCTTGCTTCGCTTCCATTGCTCTGGCAGAACGGGTGGGGTATGGGTGGACGTTATCATGGTTGGGACATGGACGCTCTGGCAGAACGGATGGGGTATGGGTGGACGTCATCATGGTTGGAACATGGAGGTCTGGGTGGACGTTATCATGGCTGGGACATGGATACTCTGGCTGAGCGGATGGGGTCCGGGTGGATGTTATCATGGTTGGGACATGGATGCTCTGTGGGACCGGATGGAGTTTGTGGGAACGTTATCATGGGCTCTGTGGGACCGGATGGAGTTTGTGGGAACGTTATCATGGTTAGGACGTGGATGCTCTGTGGGACCGGATGGAGTTTGTGGGACGTTTCATGGTTGGGGTATGGATGCTGTGTGGGACCGGATGGAGCTTGCGGGAACGTTATCATGGTTGGGATATGGATGCTCTGTCGGACCGGATGGAGTTTGTGGGAACGCTATCATTGTTGGGATATGGATGCTCTGTGGGACCGGATGGAGTTTGTCGGGACGTTATCATGGTTGGGATCTGGATGCTCTGTGGGACCGGATGGTGTTTGTGGGAATGTTATCATGGTTGGGACATGGATGCTCTGGCAGAACGGATGATGGGGTATGGGTGGACGTTATCGTGGTTGGGACATGGATGCTCCGGCAAAATGCATGGGGTCTGGATGGGTGGACGCTATCAACATGGATGCTCTGTGGCAATATGTAAATCTGTGCTTTAAAACATACAGACAGACAGAGACAAACATACATGCATACATACATACATACATACATATGTATGTACATACATACAACTGAACCCAAAGCTGCGAAGAAGTCGGGCCTGGGCGAGCGAAGGGGCACAGGAGGAAACACGGGGGTGGGCAAACGACCAGGTCGCTGCTTAGTTGTAGTACTAGTAGTTGTTGTATAGTAGTAGTGGTAGTGGTAGTGGTAGTGGTAGTGGTAGTGGTAGTGGTAGTCGTAGTGGTAGTCGTAGTAGTAGTGGTAGTGGCAGCGGTAGTGGTACCAAAAAGTGGAAGTGACGGTAAGTGGTAAGTTGTAGTAGTAGTAGTAGTAGTAGTAGTAGTAGTAGTAATAGCAGCAGCAGCAGTAGTAGTCGTAGTAAGAGCAGTAGCAGTAGCAGTAACGGTCCTAGTAGCAGCTGCAGTAGCAGTAGTCGTCGTAGTAGTCGTCGTAGTAGTGGTAGTAGTAGTAGTAGTAGTAATGATAATAATAATAGTAGTAGTACTAGCAGTAGTAGTAGTAGTAGTAGTAGTAGTAGTAATGGTAGTAGTAGTAGTAGTAGCATTGGCACTGGCAGTGGTCGTGGCAGTGGCAGGGGCATTATGATGTTTACTAGGCTTGGTTGAGATTCAGAATATTCAGATTCCCATTGGCGCCGAGAAGTCGCGCTCAAGTTAAGCTGGTCTTCATGCCAGGTGTTGGCAGTTGCCACAGTCCTATCAGCTCCCACCCAGGTTATTTTTTCCGGACTTGTGGGCAGACAGATGGAGTCGCAGACGCCAGGTCGCACACAGGCGTATACAGCCACAGGTTACGAAGCGAAGGCTTTATCTATGCCCACAGCCGAACATGACGACACCCGGAAAAAGGTGCCTAAATGGAGCGAAAGGATCTCAAGGTGGAGTTGTGTGGCAGCCACCAGCTGCCCCAACAGGCTAAACCTACATCTGGAACTCGTGATATTTTCTACATTTGGACATCTTTGGCGAGCTATGCGAGACAGCACAGGTAGCAGTCGGAGCGCATCAGGCCCATCATATATCCACCGGTTTAGTATTCCCAGCGTTTGCCGAGAATTGGCTTTACAGCGAACTCTAGCTGATAATCGCCCTACAGAGTGGACTGAGGACATGTTCTGGAAGCACTTGGGTGCTGCGGAGACTTGTGATCTTTTGGACTATGACCTCCTCGTGACATGGCTTTGACAAGTTGCATTCTTCAAGCAGGGCACACAGTCAACGTGGCTCTTGGAAGCATTCGTACATATACATATATGTGACATGTGGAATATGACTCTCTATCTCTCTCTCTCTCTATATATATATATGTGTGTGTGTGTACATGTATGATATGCACAGGATATCGACACGTGTGGCTCCAGCAGCTGCGATTCGAGTTCATTGAAAGCCCTGACTGCGAATGCTTCTGTACAATTTCCTCACCTCGAAGCAACGGCATGTAGCATGGTCTTCAGGACCGCGCAGGCTATTTTGAGTGCTGTGCACAAATGTACATACATTACACATACATGTATATCCACTCCCCGTTCAGTATGTACGTGCATACTTGTGCAGGCATAGGGCGTATCGATGTAGGCAGGTATGGTATGCCGGTAAGTGCACTTGAATGCTTGCATGAAGTTGTATGTTTGGACGTCTGCTTGCATATGTGCACGCATGCATGCACGCACGAAACGACGACAGCAGCAGCAGCAGCAGCAGCAGCCGCAACAACGGCAACAACCAGAAGAACACTGCAGAAGCACCACGGTGTTTTACATGTAATGGCGTAACGGTGCCCCGTGATCAGTGCCCGAGTCGGAACCCGGAAGTTAAGCTTCAACTCCAAACTTCAAGCATTCTCCCCAAAGGTAAGCTTCATGCGCCCGTTTCTGGTCGCTGCATACCAGGGAGTTGGGCCAAGGTGGGCTGCGGGAGAAAAGGGTAGCGGCTAGGGACTGGGAGCCTTGACATATGTTGTTTGTTCGGATCTCTTGGCGTTATGGGGGCTGGCTAGTTGGGGTGGTAGGTTTTTCTGGGTGGTCTTGAATGTGCGAGTGTAGAAACTTGCCAGGGGAGGGATCTATGCAGATGGGGTTCAAGGCGGATTTCGAAAGCTGGAAGTTGGTCCTGCTCTGCGAATCGTTGCAGAAGAGACTGGAATGCTACTAACAGGTTTTCAGGCCGTGACCGAGCCAGGGGCCGCTTCGGGTTCGGCCGCTTTCGGGTTTGTGTTCCAACGGCTTGCAAGGTTTCCGCCTCGCAGTTGGGTCAGACCAATCACTGTAAAGGCGAGACCTTACGGTCGAGAAGGAGACCAAGCAGGAGCGTACCGAGCAACTGGATTCGGCCATACCCTCGGGCAAGCAGGGACTACGGCAGGAGTTCAGGTTGGAGTCAGTCAATCCTGCTCATAGTTGTGCCTAGATCCCACTGTCAACTGTAGAGCTTGCCGCTAAGATAGCTGCCAGTATGATTTAGGTAAGGTGCAGGTTCAGATTCATAACCATCCAGTTGGGCTGTATTTTGCTGAAGACAGTTTCATATACTTACTCTTCTCTTTGTTATTAGGTGTGGGGGTGGTTTGCAACTTTTGCAATCTGGCCCCTCCTCGGGGTTCTCATCGGAGACAGTATTCACCAAACCTGCATCGTGATTCTGGAAAACGAGCACCCCCATGCGCTCTTGCATTCCCCGTGGTGAAACACTCCAATATGACATGGGTTTCCACTTACGCGTCCCTGTCGCGATGACACAGTTCTTTCTTGTATAGTTCCTTGGATGTGTGGTTGCGGTCGTACTGCTGCAGTTAATCAGCGCCCTTATTTCTGGGTCTTCAAAGCTTCGATTTCGAGCACGCATGCCTCAGGTCAAAGTCGAATTTGCTGAGTTACTGACGGCGGTCAAGAACAAGGACTTGCTGACCATTCTTCAACTTTAAACCAAGCTGAGGGCTGACAGAGTTGCAGTGTGGGGGGTGTAGTGTGTAGATATACTGCACGATGCCCAATGCATGGTGTATCGTGTGTGTTCTCTTCCTTTATACCATGTACGGGTGGCTCTTGGGACATATGTTGCGTGACGTTTGGATCAGGCCAGCGACAAGCAGTATATTAAGACCATGCCTGCAGCACCTCGTGCTTGAGCCTTGAATCCTAAATCTTTGGCACTGGACCTTGCCGAAAGTCGTAAGAGACGCAACATCGCGGTGGCTGCACTCCCTGACTTCTAGTTATGCCTTCAGCTTCGGCTTGAGGTGCATGTGCATGTGGCCATATGTTCGTGGTCAGATGCAGGCATGATGATTATGATGCGGTTTGACAGCAAAGTAGACAAAGAAGACGGCGCGAGTAAAGACACATGTCTGTCGCGATGCTCATGAGCTACAGTCCGTAAGCCTTGAGATTCAGCAGGCCAGGGGCTTCATGCAACCGAAGAAGGCCTACCGCTGTCTCGGCAGCCGGGCTGAAAATCCGAATGCGACACTCGAAGTTGCGGTAGTTTGCTGTCTGACTGGGAAGCACGTTTACACGCGCACACAAACACATCTTTTTGGATACATGTAAGAAGAACATGTCCTTGTGATTCCTTGTGTATAGTGTATTGTCTAGTGCTTGTTGTAGGTTCGTACATCGGAAAGCAGGCAGGCAGGCATGCAGGTAGGTCGCAGCATCGGACAACACGGTTGTTGAATCCATTAGAACCAAAGTAAGCTGTCAGCTCAATTCACTCATTGGTTGTTCTGCCGTCTGGGCCGAAGCTCAAATAACCTCAACAAATGAATGAGCTCAGCGCATGTTCCGTGTTATTGAAGTACCGTGGTATTCACGGTATGATGTGCCGCCTTCGCCCGTTCAATGTGAGGTACACCGGGGAAGGATCGCGTAACGAAGAACGAGCTGCACAGCTGCAGACAACCGTTTTCATCCGCACCCCAGGCTTTTGGAGTATGTCAGGGAGCTAGCCCCAGATATTACGTACTGCGAGTCCTCAGGAACAGCAATTCAGCACTCTGGATAGAACATTTGCAGAGCAAAGACCCTGCGTGGTCGCCATGCCACCATTCGGACGACGGTGCCCTCGATTGGTGCTGCGGAGCATGACTAGAGGAATTATGTTGTGACAGGCGATGCTATGGATGATGATCTTGTGCTGGGGTCGATCATGCAGAGGATGCGCAGGATGGTGACAATGATGGTCATGACAGCGAAGGCGACGACGACAATGGTGCTGGCGGTGCTGTCGGGGGCGGTTGCGGTGATCCCAAAGTATCCAAAACTCAAAAGTGGATCCGACGACGACAATGGGATGATGCAGACCAGCGTCACGAGAACGGTCACGACTCCCATGACGACGGTGGTGTTTGTGATCCTGAAAAGCAGACGGATGAAGACGACCAGTCTGATGGTGACATCTGATGCTGATAGTGGCCATTTCCTCTTATTTCAGTTCTGCCACATGAGTATTGCAGGCACCCCCACGCACACACTTCTCAGAACATCAGCACTGATACCACTTTGCCCGAAACGCTGTTGGACAGTTGAAGCATGAGTCCTTGTCTCAGGAACCGTGCCTTCTTCCGGTGTTTCAACCTGGCTGGTGAGCAAGCTGAAGCCTTCTACGACCGCCTTGCAGAGGCTGAATGGTAGACAACGACAACTACTGCTAGAATAAACAGTGCTACCACCGCTACTGCAGCAACTGCCATTGACAGAAGTTAGCAGCAGCGACGATTGTCATTGTTGTACGGATATGTTAAACTTCTGCACGAACGGTGACAACTGCAAGCACAACGGCAACAGCAAACACCACCAACAACAACCGCAACAACAACCGCAACAACAACAACACAACAACAACAACAACAACAACAACAACAACAACAACAACAACAACAACAACAACAGCAACAACAACAACAACAAACAAACAACAACAATAACAACAAACAACAACAACAACAACA